GTGAGGAGCGAGAATAGTCAATCGTGGGCGTGCGCTGAGGGTTCGAGGAACGATCGCGATGGCGGTAATAGGGATGACGAGAAGGCGCAGGAGGGTGACCATTGCGGGGGAGTGCCGAGGAGGTTGACAAACATATGGGGTAACACGCAGGTTTCCTGAAAGCGAAAGTGGGCGGAGTACGGGGGAGTAGGAGGGGGAGAAGGACGAGGAGGAGGAGAAATGTGAGGACGAATCATGTGCGTGATAGGGGTGAGATTGATTTCGATGAGGGTGCATATGGGCTATGACGTGGAAGCATGGGGAGGAGTGCTTTGGACGAGGAGCGCGGACGGGGGGGGGCATATGAGGGCGCGCCGCAAAGAGGCCAGATAAGCGAAGTGGATGGAGTAGGAAAGAGGTCAGGAGGACAACGTGGAGGAGGAGGAGGAGGAGGAGGAGGAGGAGGAGGAGGAGGAGGAGAAGGAGGAGGAGGAGGAGGAGGAGGAGGAGATGGAGCAGGAGGAGGAGGAGGAGGAGGAGGAGATGGAGGAGGAGGAAGAGGAGGAGCAGGAGGAGGAGGAGGAGGAGGAGGCCCTCCCCCGTATTTGGAGAGCGCTCTCTTCTTCCTGGGCGAGGGCGGGGGGGGCGGGGGGCGCGGATGAGGTAGAGCAACGATTGAAGGTAATGACTCCTCTGCTGCGTCCTCCTCGTCTCCGTGGTCGTTCGGCTCGCCCGCCGTCCCCCTTTTGTCCCATCGGTTCGTCATGGTTTCATTATCCTCCTCATCGTTGTCGTCGTGACTGGCATGTGCATTTTCTCCCCTGTTCGTGGTCATTGGGCGGCCTTGGCATGGCAGTGATCAGGCGCCGTATCTATTCGTATCGGTTGTTGGTAGACATGTTTTCCAGCGATGGTCGCCATATTGAACCGTATTCAAACATAGCTAACTTTATCTGTCCGTATCTAAAATTGACCCCGTATCTGAAACTAGTACTAACACATATCCCGTATCTAAAACATGAGCATTCGAACATCAACGCATCTTTGTTTAAGAGATACCCATTCGCATTTGGTTTTCTCAAGGAAAGGCGCTGTAACATATCTATGGCTCAGAAGGGACATGTTGGATACCCTGCGGCCCTTCCGAACGCAGCTGCCGCTGAGGAGATGCGCGACCAAAGCAGATGTCTGGTATGTCTTCCAGCGATCGGGCTGAGAGACCGGTAGGGATGCCACCAGATTTCAGACATGTGGCAACTCCCATGTGTTTTTGTACCCTGACCCCGCCGATCTGCGTGAGGGGTGTACATTTTTACCCACCCCAGCAATTCAGAGCACACGCTCAGGGCGTGCTAAACCTGCCCGTTTGGGCCTCCCCTCCCTCGCGCGGTCCATCAACAAGGAACAGCATGCAGCAAGAAGCAGAACTGTAATAGTGGAAATTGGAAGCTGCAACTGGCACAGGAAACTGCGAACCTTCGCCCTGCAGCCTGGTGGCCCCACAAGGGGGCCGGCAGATATCTGCAGGCAGCAGCAACAAAGCGACAACAGCATACTAAACATGTTCCCGCAAGACATTGAGGGCATCGTGAGGCACAAAGGGAACGAAGAATTTGACGTGTGTCATCAGCGCCGTCCAGGGCCTTGGGATTTGCTTACTGAAGCCACGCGTCGAAGCTGGGAAATGTCGATCGGCAAAGTGGCCGATCCTTGGGATCCAGCATGGTCACTTGGGAACTGCCCCCTACTAGGCGATCACACCACATTTCGCCCACGTATCCTTAAGCGATCAGGACGATGCCCCCGAACACCACAACCGCATCTCTGGCGCTGACACGGTGCACGAACTTCTTCGGCGCGTGCCATCCGACCCGGGTATGAGGCATTACCCAGTATATAAATCTACCCAAACACGGACACCAGTCGTCGTCATCGTCGTGGTTGTGGTATCGATCGTCGTCGTCATCAACGTATTATTCCTTCCCTTCTCTCCCTCGCCCTCCTTTTCCTCTTTTCCCTCCCCAACCTCCTTCCCCTCCAACTCCACAATTAAACAATATGATCACTACTACTACTACTACTACTACTACTACTACTACTACTACTACTATTACTACTACTACTACTACTACTACTATTACTACTACTACTATACTACTACTACTACTACTACTACTACTACTACTACTACTACTACTACTACTACTACTACTACTACTACTACTACTACTTACTACTACACTACTACTACTACTACTACTTACTACTACTACTACTACTACTACTACTACTACTACTACTACTACTACTACTACTACTACTACTACTACTACTACTACGACTACTACTACACTACTACTACTACTACTACTATACTTTACTACTACTACTACTACTACTACTACTACTACTACTACTACTACTACTACTACTACTACTACTACTACTACAACTACTACTACTACTACTACTACTACTACTACTACTACTACTACTACTACTACTACTACTACTACTACTACTACTACTACTACTACTACTACTACTCTCCTCTCTCCTCTTGGTGGCGTTCAGGAAACGGCTGGCCCCCCTCCGCGTATTGAACTTTTACATCGGATTTCCCGCAACGGGGTTTTTGTTGTTTGTTTTTTTTGTTCGAAAGGCTGCTCTCGCTGAAGCGCTGGCCTCATTTTCGGGCTACCGCTCGTTCCGCATCGTGCTCCCGTTGCAGCGCTTGCCTCATTTCCGCGCTTCCGTTGGTTCCGAATCGTACTTTCGCTGCAACGTTGGCGTCATTATTGTAGTGGCCTCCTGCCAGTGCCGCCGATCCGGGACGCTTCCGTTGCTGCCAGAAGCGCGCGATGGCGGTCATGACCGGCGACGACGGCGAGCTGTGAGGATGATGATGAGGATTGGGAATGGAGGCAACGGAGTAGGATGAGGAGGGAGAGGAGGAGGAGGAGGAGGAGGAGGAGGAGGAGGAGGAGGAGGAGGAGGAGGAGGAGGAGGAGGAGGATCATGATGAGGTGGAGGGGGGCGGGTTGTGGGGGGCAGGAGCAGCAGGATGCTGAGGATGAGGAGGAACAGGAGGAAACGGGAAGTGGATGAGGGGGAGGGGGAGCAGGAGGAGCATGACGAGGATGAGGAGATTTCCGGCGGTTGTCGGAGATGTCCGGCGGTTGTTGGAAAGCCTCTTTGGGGTCAGGTGTTGGCCCTCTTTGGCATGACACTTTGCCGATTTGGCGCACTCTCTGAAAAGCTTTGCGCTAGAGTTGTCCGCGTGCATATTGGATGCGTTCGTGGAAACTCTCGGGGGCCTTCAGGGGGCTTCAGAAAACCTCTCGGGCCCAGTTGGGAGCGTCTTGGGGCCTCTTCAGGCCTTTGCCGGGCCTCCTGGGGCCTGCTGGGGGCTTCTTGGGCCGTCTTCGGCACCCTCTCTTGCGCTCTTGGGCCTCTTGGGCCCGCCCTCTCCTCGGCACCATCTCTTCGGCACCCTCTCTTGGCGCCGTCTTGGCGCCCTCTCTTGCGCCTCTTGGGCCCGTCCTGGGGCCCTCTTGGGCCTTTTTCCGGGGGCCGCATGGGCCATCTTAGGCCCTTCTTGGGCCGTCTTGGGGCCGTGTTGGCGGTTTCTTGGGCCGTTTGGGGGCCCTCTGGGGGCGTCTGCGGCGCTCTGAAGGCCCAAGCATGCTAAAATTGTACGTTTTCCCTCGGGAATGGGACGTTTGTTGTTTTTGTTGGGCCTTCTTTGGGAGGCCTTCTCAGGGCTTCTCACGGCATCTTGGAGGACTGTGGAGCCGTTTTGGGGACATGTTGGGCGTCTTGTAGCGATCGTTCGGCGACTCGGGGCCCTCCAGGCCCATGTTGGGGCCCTGCTGGGCGAGGGGGCCGCCCTGGAGTGAGCTGGAGCTTCGATTCCGCCCCTGGAATTAAATCGACCCCCCCCCCTCCCCCTACCCCGGCAGAGCCACCCCGGCACCCACCCCCCAATAGAGCTGAAGCTCGGGAATTGAGGCTCAGGCTGTTCTGAAGGTCTTTGAAACTCACGCGCCGGATCGGCGGATTTCCAGCGCCATGCCACGGCATGTTGTTCGATCCTTCCAAGTAGGCCCGCAAATCTACAAAAAAGCTCCCGAAAAATCCATCGGGAGTGATTACACATTCGGTGTCGATGCGTTGATCTTCTGCGCCGCAGAAGCCCGCCCTTCCACTTTTGGGCGTCGCCACGCCATGCTATGTCAGGCGACGCGTCGTCATTTCCGCGTTTCCGCGCTCAGTTTTTTTTCAACATGCTGCTCTCGCTGAAGCGCTTGCCTCATTTTCGGGCGACCGCTCGTTCCGAATTGTGTTCCCGCTGCAGCGCTGGCCTCATTTCCGCGCCTCCGCTCGTTCCGAATCGTGCCACGGCATGGTTTCCGGTCCTCCCACCCACTCCTTCTGGGGCGTCGCCACGCCATGCGTCCTCAGGCTACGCGCCCTCATTTCCGCGCTTCCGCGCTTAGGTGTTTTTTTTCGAAATGCTGCTCTCGCTGAAGCGGTGGCCTCATTTAGCGCTGGCCTCATTTCCGCGTTTCCGCTCGTTCCGAATCGTGCCCCCGCTGCAGCGCTGGCGTCAGTGTTTCCATTGCTATGCCACGGCATGGTTTTCGGTCCTTCCAAGCAGGCCCCGAAAACCAAAACATGGCCTCCCGAAGCAACCATCGGAAGTGATTGCACACTCGGTGCCGATACTTTGATTTGCTGGGCGGCAGAAGCCCCCACCTCATTTTGGGACGTCGCCACGCCATGCTATGTCATGCTACGGTGCTATGACATGTAAGGTTACGCCATGCTACGACATCCGACTGTGCGAATATGGAGGAGATCTGCCCCATGGTACAAGATGGGAGGGAGGGGTAGGAAGTCAGATACGACGCGAGCGCACCTAGCTTGTCCCTCCCCCTCCCCCCTCCTCCTCCCTCGTCCCTCTTCTTTCTGATCCCTCTCCTCATCCCCCTCCGCGCTTTCCCCCTCCTGCCTCGAAGTCCGACAACGTCGATGAGCTCGAGAAGCAGATCGCGATGCTCAAGGCCCAAGTCGAGGTCAAGAAGGCCAAGCGCCTGGCTCCGAAGGCCAGCGGGTGGGGTCCTGCAGGCATCGCGCCAGCGGCGTGCAGACAGCGCGACGGGCAGCTCCTCTGTGGTCCTACTCGTCCTCGCGCCCGCATCGCATCGCCGCAGCCCCTGCAGCTGTGGCCAGGAGGGGCCGGGGCGCCTTGGATGGAGGGGCCATCCCCAGACGTCCGATGTCTTGAGCTGCTGAATACGAAGCCCCAGAGGTCTGGATCCAGTTGGGATCGCGCCGGGCTCGTGCAGCAGGAAGAGGAGACATGCGACATCCAGTGTTTTTTTCAATGCGCGGTTTCCGGAAGTCCCGACACCTTCCCCAGGACCGGTTTTTCATCCTCAGACGTGTTGTTGACGGTCCCGGGGTCCAGCGAGGGCTCCAGGAGCCCGACCGAAAATGGCAACCACAGTTTCCCGTCCTGATTATTTTGCGACGCGATCATGTCTAGATGAGGAGGAGGAGGAGGAGGAGGAGGAGGAGGAGGAGGAGGAGGAGGAGGAGGAGACGGAGGAGGAGGAGGAGGAGGAGGAGGAGGAGGAGGAGGAGGAGGAGGAGAGACGGAGACGGAGACGGAGACGGAGACGGAGCAGGAGCAGGAGCAGGAGCAGGAGGAGCAGGAGCAGGAGACGGAAGAGGAGGGGAGGAGGAGAGGAGGAGGAGGAGAGGAGGAGGAGGAGGAGGGAAGAGGAGACGGAGACGAGACGGAGACGGAGACGGAGAGGGAGAGCAGGAGCAGAGCAGGAGCAGGAGCGGAGATGAGAGGAGAGGAGGAGGAGGAGGAGGAGGAGGAGGAGGAGGAGGAGGAGGAGGAGGAGGAGGAGGAGGAGGAGGAGGAGGAGGAGGAGGAGGGAGGAGGAGCAGGAGGAGAGGAGGAGGAGGAGGAACAGGAGGAGGAGGTAGGAGGAGGAGGAGGAGGAGGATGAGGAGGAGGAGGATCGTGCACATACACCGATCCTGGCCAGGCCTTTCTGAGCCCAGGGCGCGAAGGCGGCACCGTTTCGCCCGTCGCGGCCTATTGGGCAGGAGAGGCGCTCTATAGCCAGTGGAGCCCCCCCTAGGGCTAGCACAAGGACAAATCTTTGTGGGGCGCATGTAATGGGGGGCGCGCGGAAAGGCGATGGAAGGGAGGAAGGGGGCGCCTCCTCCTCCTCATCATCGTCCTCCTCCTCCTCCTCCTCCTCCTCATCATCATCATCATCATCATCATCATCATCATCATCATCGTCATCGTCATCGTCATCGTCATCGTCATCGTCGCCGTCGTCGTCGTCGTCGTGGTCGTCATCATCATCATCATCATCATCATCATCATCATCATCATCATCATCATCATCATCATCATCATCATCATCATCATCAGCCCTGCAGGCACCAGGTAGGCCGCAAGGTGACTCCACGAGGGCATAAGGCTTCCGCCTCCTCCTCCTCCTCCTCTTCCTCCTCCTCCTCCTCCTCCTCCTCCTCCTCCTCCTCCTCCTCCTCCTCCTCCTCCTGGTCTGATGACCAGACGTCCCAGAGGTCCGAGGGTACGACTCTCGTCAATCCTGCGTTTGTTTTGTTCCTGGAGTTCGGCCTCCGGGGCCCGCCATCATCGGCCTCGGGGGCCAGATCAGCAAGGGGCCCGGGACGAGCGAGCACCCCCGGGGAAGGGGGCCGGGGCCTGGCTGGGGCCGCGGATCGAAGAGAGCATCCTCGGCGGGCGTCTGGGAGCGGGGAGGCGACACAGAAGGGGGGGCAGCGAGGGCTGCGGAGTGGGGCCCTGGTGGGGCCCCTGGAGGGGCCCCTGAGGTCCCAGAAGACATAATGAATCGTCGAACACATCCCCCTGAAGTCAGGGGGGAGAGAAACACACAGACATAATGAATCGTCGATTCCCCCGAAAATAGGGGAAAATATGGGAAGTGGGGGGGAAGACAAAGACCCCCCAAATGTGGGAAAATATTGGGAATCTTTCCATTTGTGTGTATTTATTTGTGTGTCCTGGGGCCCCTTCAATAAGGGGGTCCGAAAAGGGCACCCTTCTCCCCCCCCCCAGTCTATGCCCCCCCAAAAAGGCGCCCGAAACCCGTTCCAGAGCGCTCTGGAGCGCTCTCAGAGCGTTCCAGAACGCTCTGAGCTGAGAAGTGTTTGTGACGCGCCCGGGGCCCGGCGAGGGCCCCAGGAGGCCGAAAAGGGCCAAACATTCCCAGCCGTGACTACTTTACGACACGATCAGGTCTGGGATCACGTCCCTAGACATGCGACGTCCTGGTTTTTATGTGCGGCGTCCCTGGAAGTCCAGACCCTTTCCCCGGGCCTGGCTTCTCATGCCGAGTCGTTTTTTCGCGCTCCCGGGGCCCTGCGAGGGCCCCCAGGGGTCGAAAATTGTGGAGCAAATCCCGTCCTGATTATTTTACGACGCGATCATGTGTGGGATAATGTTGTATATTCTACGACGCGCTCATGTTTGGGATCATGTCTGGGAATGCTTCGATGGCCCACGGGTTACATTTCCCGGGCTCGGGCACGGGAGAGACCCTGGTCCGAACGCCGTGCCCCACAGGGCCGTCCCACAGCATGCTCGGGGGGAGGCGCGGGCCCTCGGGAAGAGGCCCAGCAAGACGAGGCCAGGACGAGGACCACTTCGGAGGTTTACAAGAAGTCCCCAGACACGACCGCGTCGTGCAAAACACCAGGATGCTCGCGTCGTGAAACAAAAAATCCGGACAGCAAGTTTTTCTGTATTTTTGTCGGCCCCTGGGGCGGGGCCCTCGCCGGGCCCCAAGACCGTCAGCAGACGATTGCTTGTTGACGATCTTGGGGAAAGCCGGTCTTGGGGAAAGGATCGAGGCTTTCAGGGGCGCCGCACTGAAAAAATCAGGACGTCGCATGTCTGGGCTCGGATCTCTGGGATATCGTGGCCCCCGCCACGATATCCACCCCCTCCCCAGTCATCACCCCCCTCTGGGCCGCCCCCGAGGCGGACCACCTCGACGGCCCTGGCAGGGGCCCCTCCCGGGCCCGGGGGGCTGGTGCTGGCGCCGTCCTGGCTGGCCGGGCCATCGGAGGGAGGAGAAGCCGCGCCAACACCACCAGGGGGCCCACCTCCAGCGAGGAGGTCCACAATGCCTCCCCAGACACCCCTCGCGTCGTGAACAAAAATCGCGACAGGAGGTTTTTCGTCATCTCGGCCCCTGGGGGCCCCTGCTGGGCCTCGGGAGCGTCAAAATCGGCGACTACAATGGGTGCGGTTACGCCGGGGTGCGGTTTGCGAGTTGCTTTGTGGCGGCCTTTCCGGGGCCTCTGTGAGAGACAATGTCATAATTGTCGTCGTCTCGAGCGACATTGTCATCCTCGATGTGTGCTCCACTGTTATGAGAAGGAGCGACAGTGTCATGTGATTCGGTCGCATCGAGTGACAGTGTCATCCGTTTCCGGGGGGCGGGAGGGGCACATAAGACGGGAGGCACACCGCGCCCCCGTGTGCTCGCCGACAAGAAACGGCTCAGGATGCCGAACTGGTCCCAGGAAAGGGTCCAGACCTCGGGGGGCCGTCGCCGCGAGCAAGGGTCACGCCGTCGGGGGTCCTGGGGGCCGGGGACACCTCGACAGAGCGAGAGGGGGGGACCACGCCTCCATGGGAGGACCCCCCCCCCTGCCTCCTCGCGTCTCCTCGCCCCGGTGGTGTTGGCGTCGCCTTGCCCTTGGTATCGCTCGGACGTGTGCACTGTTTCTCGGCGGGGATTGCTGAGGAGCATCCTGGATCACCCTGCGACAAGAGCCACACGCGGAGCCGAAACAAACACAGGGAATGGACGTCCGAGCGATGGCCAGTTCCTCGCTCCTACATTGAAGTCGGGCCTGTCCCTCTACAGGGGGAATGTTCAAACATAGAGTTTAAACAAAACAAGTAGCCTGGGGACTATTTGTTTTTACTATTTTTGAGCATGTATGGAGTATTTTTGGACAGGCCCGATCTAATCCTACACACTCATAGAGAGCGGTATATATATATATATATATACACATGCATACACCCACACACATATATATACATAGATGCTTTATATACATATACATTTACATGTGTATATATATATATATATATCTATATCTATATTTATATATGTATGTATATAAATATACATATATATATATATATGTGGCGGGGGGAGGCGGGGGCACCACCCCTTGGGCGCCCAGGGCGGGCCTGGCCCGGCCCCGGGCGCCGCGCGCGGGGGGCATCGAAGCATCTTCGACCCGTCCTCCTCTGTTGCTTCGGGGCTGCTTCTATACTGCCAGAGGCCCCAATAAGGACGCGCGACTTTGCTCAGGGTACCCTTGCGTCCTTGCGCTTCCTTGCTCTTGCGGCTCGTCCTTGGCCTCTTTCGCTTGCCCGCTTGTCAGGGTACCCTTGGGGTTTTCGTCGTCCGCCGCCCCAGAAATCCCAACTTCGGCTTCAAGGGTCTTGCGTCCTTGCCGCGCGTCCTTACTAGGGTTTTTGACTGTACTGCCAGAGGCCCCAGGCCCCCCCTCGCGCTGTGACACGATCGCGACGGGAGGTGTCTCGTTAGCTTCGGCCCCCGGGGGCCCCTCCCGGGCTTCGGCAGCGTCAAAAAACGGCTCAGGACGAAAAAAACCGTCCCGGGGACGGGGTCCCGGGGGCGGGGTCCAGACCGCTGGGGGTCGACGTTGTGGACAACATCGCGACGTCGGGGGTCTGAGACCCGACGCTCCAGCAGAACTTAACGCGGGCGGCTTCGGGCTGTGTTCGGCCTCGGAGGGGCCCTCGCCGGGCTTCGGGGCCGTCGACAGGCGACTGAGGACGAGAAGTTGGGGAAGTGGTCGCTCTCTTCGTTTGTTTTTTTGGGGGGTGCCAAACCCAGACGCGGTCGCGTCGTTAAGCAATCCGTGATTTTCGGGCACAGGGTTTCGGAGTTCTTGCTGGCTCTCGGCGGTGTTCTGGCCTCGGGGTGCTCTCCAGCGGCTGCGCCTCGCCGAGGGCGCTCTGGGCGTGCCCAGAGCGCCTCGAGCGGCCGCCGGAGAGGCGAGGCCTGCCCTCAAAAGCGGGACATGCAGCGTCTCGAGAGCATCAGGACGGAGGGGCTTCGCCATTTTCTTCGGGGGTGGACGGACCTCCTGCCCTGCCGCGTCGAGTCCGGGTGCGTCGGTTTCGGTGCCAGGCCGTTTTCACTAAGGGGAGGTCTACGAAAGGGAGGTTTGTCCACCGCCGATTTCTGCCCCTGGCTGGGGGTCCTCGCCCGGCCGCGGGGACCGGCAAACAGCGACTCGGGGCGAGATTCCAGGCTTCCAGGGGCGCCGCGCTTGGGAAAAAAGCAGGCCGTCGCATGTGGGGGGCTCGTCACGGGTGCTCTGGAGGCCTGGGGGGGCCTCCTGGGAAATCTTGGGGGCACGCTGGGCCAGGGGCACTTCCAATTTGCAGCACCCGAATTTGATCGCTGAGTCGATTTCAGGGAGCATCTTTCTGGAGCGCCCCTGGTGCACGTTCAAGACCCCCGACAATCTAGAAACGACGGCGTGACGGACCTCGGCCCGCTCATTGTCACCATCAGAGGCGCCCCCTGAAAGACGATCATCATGTGTCAGTCAGGCGAGAGCCCTGTTTTGAAAACTCGCCGCCTTACATCCTTCGAACCAGTTTTGCACGGGACGCGACAACATAGCATGAACAATCTCAACGAGGTGCCCAGCCCGCCGTTTTGAAATGGAGCCGCCCCGCATCCGCGTAACGTTCTGGCAAGCTTGCAGATCCAATCGGAAAGCTTCTGGGAACTATGATGCGGAGGGTCCCGCTTTGCAGAGGACTCGCCCTCCATCCGCGCATGTGTTGCACAGATTTGAGCTTTTGGCCGTTGAATCTATGGCGCCGTCCATCTTGTTCGCGTCACGAGGCCTCTGTATCGGATCGGCGGCCATGGCCAACACGGGATCGGCGGGCGCGTTATTGGATCTGCGTCCATCTTGTTCGCGTCACGAGGGCTCTGTTTTGGGTCGCAGAGCCCAACGGGGCCATGGATCCCAACACGGGGTCACCCAGGCCCCGTTGGGCTCCAGGGCCCCGCCCCCCTACCCCCCCCGAGGGCCTCCCAAGAGGGGTCACGCAGCATGCCCGCCAGCACGGGGGCGTGAGCGTCGCAGGTTGGCAACGCTACAGTGAAGTCGGGCCTGTCCCTCTACAGGGGGAATATTCAAAAATAGTCAAGAATAGTCTGGGGACTGTTTTTTTGGGGGGGTATTTTTTGGAGCATTTTTGAGTATTGTTTGAGTAGTTTTCGTTTTTCGTCGGAAATCCCCCTGTAGGGGGACACGCCCGACTTAACTCTACAGATTGACGGTCCCAGGCGGGGGCCCCATTCTGAAGAGGAGCCGCCTGCTGTTATCCACCCACGAAGCTGCTCCACAGGCTGACGCTCGTGGCAGTTGTCTGTGAGGACGCCGCAGGCCAGAGGCCCGTTCTGAAGGCGGGCCGTCAGCCACATGTGTAAGTGTTGGGTCGGTTTACAAGTGCTGTGGTATGTATGTTCTGTACTGGTTGTTGTAGGTTCGTTTCGTGTCTCAGGGGTTGCCCCATTTTGAAAAGGAAGCGCGCTCTGTCACCACAGCGGCTGCGAGCTTCCGAGACGACTGTGGGAGTCGCCACGGCGAGAACCGCATTCTGAAGAACACCAGCCCTCCACCAATGCAGGATTTGCGGCAAGCGCTGAAGACGAGAACGCGAGGCGCTGAGGCGAGAGCTCCATCCCGCGCAGCTGCTGCAGATTTCTGAGACGAACGTGTGGGGCGCCGGGGCGGGAACCGCATGTCAAAAACCACCCCCCAGTCCCCAGTCCATCTCCCCAGCTTTAAGTCGGGCGTGTTCCTCTACAGGGGGGGATATTTAAAAGTAATGGAAAAATAGCCTGGGGACGAATTTTTCACCATTTTTGAGCATTTGGGGGGTATGTTTTGAATCTTTTTTTATTGGGCTGGCCTCCGGCCAGTGCCGCCGATCCGGGGGGGGTGAGACTTGGGGACGTCTTGGAGGTTTCTGGAACTGTCTTCGGGGTATTCTGGGCGGTTCGAGCGATGTTTCGGCGATTCGGGACCCTCTTGCATTGTCTAGGGGGCCTCTGGGGCCTCTCTTGCCTTCCTCTTGGGCTGTCTTGGGCGGTCGGGGCTCTCGAAGTGGAGTTTTCTATACCCCCCTGTCTCCGGGTACCGAGAAACGTCGGAAATGACGTCGGAAATACCCCCGTGTACCGGAAAACGTCGGAAATGAAATCGGAAATAACGTGCCCCCCCCCCACACCCCTGCAGAGCGAAGCTTGAGCGAACTCAAGTCTACGCTCTCAGAAACTCACACGCCGGATCGGCTGATTTTTTCGCCCAAAATCCCCCTGTGGGGGGACAGGCCCGACCTAACCCCAGCTGTTTGGAACTTTGGAGACGAAAGCGCGCGGAGAAAAGGCGCCTAAGGTTGTTGCAGGCGTGTGCGACGATTCGCGCGGCACCAAGTCGAGAGCACCTTTTTTACAACGACCCGCCCTGCATCCTGATAGCAGCTCCAGGGTTCAAGCATCATAATCATAGGCTGTGAGGTAGTCTCTGGCGAAACGACCAGCCTGCCCACCGACACCCCAGGCATCAGATGACCTGTTTTTTTTTCAACCCGCGGCCCCAGAGATCCTGACCCCTTCCCCGGGGGTGGTTTTTCGTCCCAGATCCATGTTTGATGGTCCCCGGCCCGATGACAGGCCCCAGAGGCCGAAATCCAGGAAAAACAGCAGGATTGAAAAATCATACCCTCGGATCTCTGGGACGTGTGGTTATCAGACAAGGAGGAGCAGGAGAAGCAGGCGGAATCTCTATGCCCTCGTGGAGCCACCTTGCGGCCCACCTGGTGCCATCAAGGAGGAGGAGGAGGAGGAGGAGGAGGAGGAGGAGGAGGAGGAGGAGGAGCCGCCCAATCCTCGCTTCCATAGCCTTGACGCCCCGTCCTCTCCCTCCTGTGCACTGCCCTCGCCGCGGCGTGTGGTCCTAACTGCTCGCAGGCCGCCCAGGAGGAGGCCGCCTCGGCGAAGGCTGCCGGGGAGCAGGCCGCCGCCTCGCGGGAGGGCCTCTGCTTCTCCCGGTCCCCGCCACCACGGCTACGGGCACGAAGGGAGGAGGAGGAGGGAGGAGGAGGAGGAGGAGGAGGAGGAGGAGGAGGAGGAGGAGGGAGGAGGAGGAGGAGGAGGAGGAGGAGAAGGAAAAAGAACAGAGGAGGAAGAGGAGGACGGGGCAGGAGGAGGTGGAGAAGGAGGAGGAGGGGGAGGAGGAGGAGGAGAGAGGAGGAAGGAGGAGGGGGATGATGAAGAAGAGGAGGAAGAGGGAGAGGGGCATCCCGTTCCTCTCTTCCGTCTCCTCCTCTTCCTCCTCTTCTTTGTGCTCTTTCTCCTTCTCCCAGTCCTCCTCCTCCTCCTCCTCCTCCTCCTCCTCCTCCTCCTCCTCCTCCTCCTCCTGGCACCTGTGCCACTGAGTGCCTTCGGGCGTCCCAGAAAACAGGCGGGTTGCAGCCCGATCGTCGCCCCGCTTTGCCCGCAGTGGGCCAGGGGGAGAGAAAATTGCACTCTCGTCGCCACGTTGCGTCCCCCTTGCGGTGGCCCTCGTGGTACCCCGCCAGGGCTCGGGCGGGGACGCGCTTCGCCTGCGGGCGGCTCCTCGGGGGATCCCCGCCCATTTTTGCCCACGGCCCGGGTGCCCCGCGTGGTGCGTGCGTGGGGGTGGGGGTCGGCCAGGGGAGTGGCGCCCCTCGGCTGGCTTGGGGGGGTGTCGCTATCTGAGCCCTGAGTGGCGGGCGCGGCTTGAAAAACTGGAGGTAGGCAGCGAGGCTCGTTCCCCCCAGCTGTCTCGTCTCATCTGCTTGCCCCTGGGCCATGGGTGCCCTCGGGGCGCCTTTCCCTCAGCGGGATGGGTGTTATTTTTTCCGACGGAGGCACTCAGTCCCCTTTATGGCTCCCTCCTCCTCCCCCTCCGACTCCGGCTCCCAGCTTTCCGACTCTGGCTGACAATGTTCCGAATCCACACCGGCCTTCCCCTTCCAGCGTCCAAGTTTCCGACTCCAGCTCCCTACATTTCGACTTCGGCCGAGTTCCGAGTTCAGACTTGTGGCGCCCCAGCGCACCCGCCGTTCCCTACAAGGGACGCCTTTTGGGCGACATCGGCGCCGCTCCTCCTCCCCCTCTTGGGAGGTGCCCGTCGTTCCGTTTTCGCGCCCCTCGACGCGAGGTCGCACTGCGCCCCCTGGCCCCGCCAGTACAAAAGGAGCACGACTCCTCTTCTTCCTCCTCCCCCATCCTCCTCCTCCTCCTCCTCCTCCTCCTCCTCCTCCTCCTCCTCCTCCTCCCCCAGCAGCGTCTTTTTGTTTTTTCTGTACTGGTCCGTTTCGCGCCCGCGCGCGCGACGTGGATGCGACGCCACGTGCGTAGCTAGCCCAGCCTCGCCCCACGGCCCGATCCCGCGGGGCGTCTGCTTCAGGATCCCGAGGCCGGCTGGCCGCGCCCAGTCGTCTGCCGCACTCCTGTCGTGAGGCAGGGAGGGTCGCATGATGATGACGAGGATGAGCATGATGATGACGATGATAAAGGTGTTGCTGATGATGATGATGATGATGATGATGATGATGATGATGATGATGATGATGATGATGATGATGATGATGATGATGATGATGGTGATGGTGATGGTGATGGTGATGGTGATGAGCATGATGACGATGATGATAATGATGATGATGCTGCTGCTGGTGATGATGATGATGATGGCGGTGATGGGATGAAGATGACGAAGATGACGAGGATGATGATGATGATGATGCTGATGCAACTGATGATGTTGATGATGATGGAGACGATGACGATGACGATGAACTGACGATGATGATGATGGTGATGATGGTGATGATGTGGATGATGATGATGCTGATGAGGATGACCATCCTCATCATCATGCTGTTGATGCTGATGCCGATGCTATTGCTGCCGATGATGATGCTGATGATGCTGATGATGATGATGATGATGATGATGATGATGATGATGATGATGATGATGATGATGATGGCGGCCAGCACGGAGCCAAGTCGGCACCTGCCTCCCTCGATGTGGAACCCGCACGGTGCAAGGTGTTTCCTGCATTGTGGGGCATGGTGCAACACGGTGGGGGCGTTGGTTAAGGAATGTGCCCAGGAGGCTTCACACCCTGGACGATTCCTTGTCTGATGATGGCGGCGGTGATCTCCATGGCCACTCCACGATTGGCTCTCCACTGGCTTCCAGACGCTGGATTTCTTATCGAAGGTTTCCTTATCCAATGCCATCACCGTATATGTCTTTTGCAGGCGATGTGGTCTAAGCTGCGCAGGCGTTGCAGGCTGCGCGTTGCAAGCCGTGCGACGCGTCCATGCGGGGGGGGGGGGGCACGGGCGGGCACCGGGCGAAGCCCTTGCAGGCCCACCCAGTGCTAGGTGGCCACGGGCTGATGGTGACGACGACGACGACGATGACGACGATGGTGATGATTTTAATGATGATGATGCTGCTGATGATGATGGTGACGATGATGATGGTGTTGATGATGGTGTTGTTGATGATGATGCTGATGATGACGGTTCTGATGATGATGATGATGACGATGGTGATGATGATGACGATAATGATGATGGTGGTGATGATGGTGCTGATGATGACGATGATGGGGATGATGATGATGATGATGCTGATGATGATGATGATGGTGATGGTGGGGCGGATGATGATGATGATGATGGTGATGGTGGGGCGGATGAGGATGATGATGATGATGATGAGGATGATGATGATGATGAGGATGACGATGGTGAGGGGGCGGAGGATGATGAGGATGGCGATGATGATGATGACGATGATGATGATGATGATGATGATGATGATGGTTATGATGATGATGATGATGATGATGATGATGATGATGATGATGCTGATGCTGATGCTGATGCTGATGCTGATGCTGATGCTGATGCTGATGAAGATGCTGATGCTGATGCTGATGCTGATGCTGAGGAGGAGGAGGAGGAGGAGGGAGCACCTGTCGGCTCCCGAGCTTGGAAAGCCGTGCTCGAGGAGGGCTGGAAGCCCCCCCAAGCTTCAAAAGGTGGATTGCTTATGGTTATGATGCTGAGGCTGCTGGCCGTGGTGGTGGTGATGCTGATGATGTGGTGGTCGATGGTGACGGTGGTGGTGATGATGATGATGATGATGATGATGATGATGATGAGGATGATGAGGATGATGAGGATGATGATGATGATGATGATGATGATGATGATGAGTATGATGAGTATGATGATGATGATGCGGACCATGACTGTGATGACGATGCTGATTGTGCTGATTATTATGATGGTGATGATGCTGGTGATGATGATTGTGATGTTCGTTATGATTCATGATGGCTATGCTGTTGATGTTGATGATGCGGACGGTGATACTGACGTGGTTAATGATGGTAGTGGCAGTGAGGGTGATGATGATGGTGGTGTTGAGGATGTTGAGGATGAAGGTAATAACGAGGATGTGGATGGGCATGCGGTTGATACGAAAGATGGTGCTGATGATGAAGTCGGGGATGGTGAGGAGGAGGAGGAGGAGAAGGAGGAGGAGGAGGAGGAGGAGGAGGAGGAGGAGGAGATTGCGGGTTGGGCCCACTCTCCGACGAAACGTGCTTGGTTCTCTCGGAGTTTCTGGCTTGCGTGCGCATCGGGGCGCGGCCCGCCGTCCTTGCCCCAGACCCCAGCGGGGGGGGTGAGGAGGAGGAGGGCTAGGAGGAGGCCTAGGAACAGGAATGGGAGAAGGAGGAGGATGAGGGAGGGTGGAGGAGGGAGAAGCAGGAGAAGTAGGAGGAGGTGGATGAGGGTGGGGGGGGGGAGGAAGACCGCAACGACCGACGCGTCCTCAGGGACATCTGCACGCGCGGCCCCGTCGCAAGCCGAGAGGAAGTGATCCGTCAACGGCGACGCCAGGATCCCCTTGCGGTCTTCGGGTCACCACTCCGGCCTCCAGCGGCCAACTCGGGGCGACCCGGGCACCCCCGGGAGCGCTCTCGGCGAGGCGCGGCTGCTTTTGAGCGCACGTCGCGGCCGGAAGGCCGCCGAGAGCCGACGAGAGTGCCCGAGCATCCCACCTCTCGAGCCCCCGACCTCGAGCCCCTCGATGCTTCACCCCCTCCTGCCAGTCCCCCCCTCCTCCTCCGCCTCCTCCTCCTCCTCCTCCTCCTCCTCCTCCTCCTCCTCCTCCTCCTCAAGCATCGTGAACGGCAAGGGACCCGCCGTTTTCGATGCCTGGCGTGGCCTGCCTGGGCGTCGCGCCGTGCTCGGGCGCAGCGCGCTTTTTTCTTCCAGTCCTGCGCCCGAGAAGCTCCTCGCAGGACGCTCAGGCGCTGGGGCATCGACTCTGGGCCCCCCCCCTCGTGGCTCCTCTGGGCCCCTCGGGGTCGCGGTCGCACCGTTGGCTGGACGGGTCGGCCCCGAGAGGCCCCCGAGGCCGGCTGCGAGCAGGAGACCCGGCGGCAACCCGGCAGCGACGCGGCGCTGCATCGCCAGAGGCCGCGGGGGCTCGCAGCGGCGGCCGCCGCGTCGGCCAGGAGTTGGCCACACGGCCACGGGCACAGCGGCCCTGGGCTTGTGTGTGTTCCCATCGCACTCGAGGACCTCCTCCCGGAAAGAGCCTCGAGCGCCCAGGAAGGTATCGCCACGGTGTCGAGCGAGTGCCGCCTCCCAGGGCCCCAGGCGTGAGAACCCTCGGGCTTCGGTGCTCCGTCGTGGTCGCGGCCGCACCGTGTGCCGGGCGAGCCCCGAGGGTCTACTGCCCGCGCCCTCGCGGCCTGCGAGCTCCGAGGGCCTCTCGGCCGCCCCCGTGGCCCTCGTTGACCCTCGCGGGCCCTGCGGTGTGCCTCGGTGTGTGTGTGTGTGTGTGTGTGTGTGTGTGTGTGTGTGTGTGTGTGTGTGTGTGTGTGTGTGTGTGTGTGTGTGTGTGTGTGTGTGTGCGTGTGTGTGTGTGTGTGTGTGTGCAGGGAGCGGCCGCAGCGGGGCGTGGCGTGGGAGTTCTCCCCGCCGAGGCCGAGGAGGCCGCCGAGCCGGAGGCCGGGGAGAATGCAACGGGGAAGGTCGAGGAGGGTGCCGAGGAGTCCACCGAGCAGACGGCCGCGGATCAGGCGGCCTCCGGCCTCCCTTCCCGGCCTCGGGCGGGCTCGGTCGGCGGGGAGGTGGCCACAACCCACCAAATCACCCCAACCCAACCCGAAGGTCTCAATTTGCCCTCCATTTCCAGTGGGGGGGGCATCGGGGAACATCGAGAAAACACATATGGAGCCCGTACCCCCCCCAACCCGAAATTCGGGCCTTCGGGCTGGGTTTGGGTGGTCTGGTAGGTGGTCAGGTGGGGGGGGGGGGGGATGGTCTGGTAGGTGGTCAGGTGGGGGGGGGGGGGGATGATACAGTCAGCGTTCAGGTGGGGGGGGGGGGGGCATGATACAGTCAGCGCGCTTAATGAGGACGCGCGCCTTTTCTGGGGCACCCCTTGCCTCCTTGCCTCTGCGGCCCCGTGCGGGCTAGGGTGCCCTTAAAAACCCCTGGGGGGGCGGATCGCCCGCCGCCCCGCAGGTCCCGACTTCGGCCTGCAAGGGTCCTGCGCCTTCGCCGGCCGTCCTCACTGTACTCAGCGAGAGAATGAACGGTATAAAATCATGTGTTTTTCGCTGTCGGGGGCGCCTGTCCCTGGGCGGCTGGAAAGTTTATACCCCTACGGTGCCGCGGTGAGGGTATAAACTTTCCAGCCGCCCAGGGACAGGCGCCCCCGATAGCGAAAAAGTTTATGTCATACCGTTCTTTCGCCCGTTAGTATAGGTGTTCACGATAGTTGAAGGGGAACTGGTGAGGGAGGAGAGGGGGGGGGCCAGCACGCGGATCCCCTGCAGGCGTTGTGGTGCAGGCTACGTGGTGCGATCGGTGGCGCAACGAAGTCTGGCCACCTCATGAATGCCAGGAGGAAAGAGCAACACAGACACAACCAAGCCTCGGGCCCCAGGAAAATATCGGCAAGCATTGAAATCGGAGGGGAGGGCGAAAGTCCACAAAATATTTTGGAAAACATGGGGAACCTTGAACATTTGCGTCTGTCCATCTGTGCGCCCCTTGGCCCCTCGAGGATTCTCAACTCCACCGCTCGCGAGATCACCCCATCCCACCCTCCCGCCCGCAGCGTGGCTTGCAGCAAGCCCGCGGCGGCGGTTGCGATAACTGCGCGGCCATGGCTGGCGCACCGGCTCGCGCTCCGAGCGGCCAGCTGGTCCGGCACAGCCGATGCGGCTGCGATGGCCCTGGCCGACGGCAGCGTCCCAGCGCGCGTCGAAGGCCGCGGCCGCGCGCGCGGGCACTGCAGTGCGGGCCGGCGGCTCGGGCGGGCGCGGTATCGTGACGACGCCGACGAGGGCGGCAACGATGATGGTGGTGGCCGACGCCCGTCGTCGCCCGTAGCCGGGCGCTGTACTGCCCCCCTTCGCCTGCGCGTGAGGCTTGGCGTTTCGACGCCCGGCGTCGCCCGCCGCAGAGTGCCGCTGGCCCTTCGCCTACACGTGAATCGGAGGAGGACAGGGCGGCAAGGATGATGGTGGTAGCGATGGCGGCTGTGGCCATGGTAGCGATGACGACGGCACGGCCGATGACGGCGCCGATGCTGGTAATGCCGATGGCGATGACGATGCCCATGTGTCGATGGTGGTGGTGCTCGAATGATGATGGCGGCAATTGCGGCGATCGACGATGACGATGGCGTGATGCGGCGGCGCTGATGAGGTCGATGGTAAGGAAGTGCGCTCGCGCGGTAATATAACTATGCTTGCACATTAGCTGACACAACTTGAACTGTTCATGCGTATCTGAAAAGTCTTGTTCTGAAATGCGTCGAGCACACAATGGTTTGGGACGGATTTCGACACGCTCGCGCGGCAGCGCGCGCGCGCGCGTGTGGCACGGATTCGTGCATTGGGTGCATGCTGGATCAGCGCGGGTGCACGAGGTGGTTGGGTGAGAATATGGGTTCTGGGCGAGATTGCTAACACCATGTGGCTGTCCCACGCATTTAGCACGTGCGCGCGGACAGAAATCGTGCAATCATTGCGATGGAAGAATTTCAGCAAGTGCTTGTCGCTGTTATGCTGAAGACATTGCAACAGTGGTGAGTATTTGTCTGGATTCGACATATGCGCTCGCGTGTGGACTTTTGTGTCAAGTGTTGCCAGGGGCTCCTGGCTACTTTGTAAAAGAGTGCGCGCGCATACTATTATTTGACAGGGGTGATGGGGGGACCATCGCCAGTTTGGCCGGGGTGGTCGGATCTTATCCAGCAAGTCAACGGCGTTGCATGCTCATCTGTAATTTGTGGTGGCCCAGGGGGCGCCGATAACTCCGAGGGTGAGAGGTGGTAGAGTCTACTCTTCTCTTGAAGGGAGAACCCACTTTGCAGAACTTGAAGCCGTCAACTGCACTGCTCGTGCAATCATCCCACGCTCCCACCCGCAATGTTTTTTGAACAACCCATGCGGTCGCGATTGTAGTGGCTACTTGGCATTGGTTGGCGCATTTGTGCGGTTGCGCATTCACTGCGGGCATGCGCTTGTGAACACCCCTCATACCCGCCCACCCATCTGCAGCTTGTTGAGAAAGTCCTTAGGGCCATGTGTGCAGTTAGCCATCGGAACTTGCTCGGAAAAATCAGCAGGCGCAGTGACGTGTGGACCCTGCGCATGCTGATCCATGAGTCGGGCGGGCGAGCGATGA